CTTTATTGATCCACTCTAACTGCCTGGTTTCTGTATTTACACTTGTGCCTTGCTTCTATTGCCTTACATACATCCTACCTTCTATTTCTCTAATTTGTAAAGGTATTTTAAATTTTTTTTCTAATAAGATATATTTAAACTTCATGCTGATCTATCTTCTGCCATATTATCTGTTCCTCCTGGATTTATTTCCTTTATAGTATCTTTAATGTTAACGTTTGGAGTATTTCCTGCAGTTCAGAATCCAGGAAGAAAAAACTCATATCACTACTTTCCTGACTGACAGATATTTCTTAATCTGCAGAAAAAAAATTTTGTTTCCTCAAAATAATTCACTAACCAAATTCACCGTCTAAGACCTATGACCATGTACCATGAAAATAACCCTTCAGTCAGCACCTAGGCTGGTGATCCCAGAGCCACCACTAATGACACCATAGCCACCCTAGTGTATGCAGGCACATTCCACGAGGTTCCAATAGCAACAGAACTGCCTAAGTATACATCCCTCTGCCTTTAGGTAATGGATACTTGTACTTTAATTCAAAAAAATTATTTAGCAGCCTAACAGCACTCTGTGTAAAATGGTTGTACACACTTGCCAAGAAAGCTGCAAATCACAGGAAAAGCAACAATTTAAAGCAATTATATTGACACCAATTGATTCTAAGAGATTTATGGCACAGAACAAAGAATACTGGTATCAGAGAAGTCTAAACTGGAAAAGACACAAAATACTGTCCCACTAGGCATGTTAACATCTGGGTTGTGATACTGTCTGTGCTGAGTCCAGTTTCCTAATACTTTGACCCAGCTCAGGGGTCTGGAGGGTGTGGCAGCCTTCTGGGACCTGATTCCTGGTGAAAGCAGTAGATTTTACAGAGGTTTACTTGGACACATGCTCAACTACTGCCAGGGAAAGCAATGTTAAAATCTTAAGGAAAGTGCTCAAAAAGGCCGAAGCATCGTTGTTGCTGGTAATAGGATGGATACTAATGCACAAAGCAGCTTCCAGCTTTATAGAAATTTTACAGACATTAATTCACAGCTTCATCTGAAAACTACGTTAAGACAAAGACTTTTATTCGATCTGAAGAGAAACCAGAGTATAAGACACAGACTTTTGAGGGCTTCTATACTTTACAACTTGCTATGAGTCAAGTTCATCAGAAGTGCACAGATGACTTTAAGAGCTGGAGAATATCCTAAGGCAACTATGTTGTTTTTAGGTGTTGAAAATACATGTGAGGCCCAGGGAGATGCTCAGTAGAATAAGCGCTTGACTGGCAAGCGCAAGGTCCTGAGTTCAATCCCCGGTATCGCTAAAAAAAAGATGTGTTAAGGCTGTTGTTTTAACTTGGAGTAAAAATATTTTTAAAAAATATATTTGGTATAGGCTCTCGCTATGTAGCTCGGACTCATAATGATCCTCCTGTTTTCGGCCTCCCCAGCACTGGGATTACAGGTGTGTGCCACCATGCCCAGGATCGGTGGCCTGCTCAGTGTGCCTTGGGGCAGGGCAGACCCAGTGCAGCATGTGGTACAGGGATCAAACCCCAAACCCCGGTCCCTGTGAGGAGCAAATGTTAATGGATCCCATTCTACATGTGGATACAACTCCTTGTACCAGGCTTTTTTCCAGAAAAATGCTGAGATCATAAAATTACTTCTCAAAAACTAAAAAGAGCAAACACAATGCCAGCTGACACTGGAATCGCACCTTCATTTGTGGCCATGCAGTATGGCAAGGTTAGTAGAAAGCTTGAGCATACTTACTCCATCAGGTGCAAATGTCAGGCCATGGATAAAGCTACTCCCTGGATGTTTGCTGCTCAAGAGGCCATACTAAATGTGTGGAGCTTTTGCTGTCCAATGGGGCAGATCAAACCTTTCCTCTAATGAGGACAACTGGCAGTTATGCAGCACGCAAATGGGCTATACAGAAATGTCAGGCTTATTATTAATACCACTTACTGAACCAGCTCTGTCGACTCAGCAGTATTGAAGGATGGACGTGGAAAGTGCCTGGAGCTAGTTCTCCAGAATAGCCACTGCCCAGACACTCTGATGTGTCTGTCTGGTCTTTGGAATCAGTTCTCCCAAGTGGAGAGCTTTCCAAAAGACTGTGATTCTTTGGAATTGTGAATATTCTTTTGAAATATGGAGCAGATAAATGTACTTCCCTTTGCATATGCCTGAAGTATGAGAAATTTTCAGTATTTCACTGCTGTTTGAAGGAAAATGGCATATTGGCACCATGGAATCATATATCAATTTATAAATGATGAAGTTCAAGCACAAGCAAAATATAAAGCAAGTCTGCCACAACTTCTGCTTGCTGGCTTTGACCTACAAGCAGGTCAGTCCTGGACTGACTCAGTCAGTGATGACCCCTCTCTTCACTGTGGAGCTGACTGAGAGAGAGAGAGAGAGAGACCTCCACCAAATGTTGAGAAGGTACTCTCTGCTGGCGCTTCCAACTCTCTTGGGTTCTACAGCTGCTTCTGTTTCATTCTTAGCCCATTCTCTTTTTTAGAGATTCAGTCGAGCCTGAAAGAATGCTTGGAACCTGACAATTTTATCCTTCAGTTGTACCTTCCTAGAACCCTGCATTACTCTTTGCTCTACGCAGAGGTTCTAGAATTGGCAGCTCTTCATAATGGAGAAATCAGTGAAGCTACTTAACACAGCTCATGTCTTACTCTGAAAACTATCAAGACAAAAGAGAGCCACAGCGGGGCTGGGAAATATAGGTCAGTGGCACAAGTGCTTGTCTGGCAAGTGTAAGGTCCTGAGTTCAATTCCTGATACCACAAAAAAAAAAAAAAAAATACAGCTGGGCATGGTGGAAAACACCTGTAATCCAAGCACTAGGAGGGCTGAGGCAGGAGGATCATTGTGAGTTTGAGAGCAGCCTAGGCCACAAAGTAAGCTCAAGTCAGCCTGAACTGCATAGCAAGATCCTATTTCAAAAAGACAAAAAGAGAGTGAGGGAAACAGCTCCACAGGCTAAGTTCCTGTCTGGCAAGCACAAGGACCTGAGTTCAATCTCCAGTACTGCATATCAAGACCCTTTCATTCATACATATATACATACATACATACATACATGCATACATACATAATTTTTAAAAAGAAAAAAGAGCCACAATGAAGAGATTATTCATGATTGTTTAGTCACAAAACAATGAAGTTTGTTCATGCAGCTAGGGCAATGTTAAATGTGAATGTTTACAGTTGAACTCAGTTCAAAAAAATTCTACATTTCCTGGATACTTTATTGCACTTTGTCACCAGCATACTTCTAAGTTTTAATATTTGTTTACCTCACTATTTTCTGATTTATTCTGCTCTGAACTATGATGTTCCTTCTAGAGCTAGACAGTGCAGGTTTCCATATATGATTTATATTTTCACTCTTATATGCTAACAGTTACAAATGGAATATCCAATGCTTTCTTTGGAAGTGTATACAAATGCAATGATGGTGGTGGTAATGGTAGTAGCAGTTGTGATGGTGATGGAGATTATTTTGGGGGCTAAATAGCTCATGTTTGTAACACTATTTCCTATCCTTTTATATTTCAAAAGAGAGTACTGTCCAATTCTATTTCTGATACAGATCTAGTGGTCCACAGAAGTTTATACAGTGAATTAGTGGTAAAATATTTTTTCAATTACTCAAAGAGACCCCTGCCATATGACTTTCATATTTTCTCTTCTAAAAGAAAAACATGCCAAAAAATTTTTAAATGCTTAAAATGTAACATCAAATTTTATATATAAATAGTTGCCAGGATAGGGCTGGCCAAATAGCTAGCCAAATATATATATCAATTGAAAGATTTTTTATAATAGCCTTTTTAATTTTTTGCCTTTTCTATAAATTTAATCTGGCAGACTCATGATTTGAAGTATAATACTGTGGTAAACATTTTATACTATTTGAATAGATATCTAATGCAAAATTCATGAATAATTTTGGGAAAAGCATTACTTTAAAAAAATTAGAATAGAGTGATTTCCATCATATAAATACTTTTCAAAAACATACTAAATTGAGAGTGTATCAGTTGCATATTTAAATACTTTTTCAAAATTGCAATTCCTCCTGGAAAAATGTGTCTCATATATTAAAGTGAATAAACTTCATAACTTGGTGGTTAAAAGCAGAAAACAGGCCAGACATTATGACACATGCCTATAATCCCAGAGCTTGGGGACTAAGGCAGAAGTACTGCTGTGACTTCAAGGCCAGTGTGGACCACAAAGTGAGTTCAAGGCCAGCATGAAATGCATTGTGAAACCCTGTCTCAAAAAAGGCAAAAAAGAAGGAGTACAGAGACTAACTTTTGACAGTCTTTTTTCCAATCCTGGCCCTGCCATGTGTGACTTGAGACAAGTCATCTAACCTGTATATGGTTGTTTCCTTGTCTACAAAATGATGACAATAATCGTACATATCATTTAGATTAGGAAGAAGGTTGAAAGAACATATACTTAGAGTTCAGCACATTAAGAATTAACTATTATAGTGTGACCTCCAGTTTGGGAAAACCTTAAAGTACATATTATTTTTTATTTATTAGGGCATACTTATCAATAATAAATTTAAATTCTATAGCTATGTTTCTCTGTGAATATAACATACATTAAAAAAATTAATGACTATCAATATCTTCATTTTCTTATACTTCTATATTTTCTACAGCTCAGTTTTATTAAAAAAGAAAACCAAACAAAACAAATAAAAATGAAACAAATTATCTCAAAAGAACAAAGAATGGCCAGGTGTGGTGGCGCTCACCTGTAATCCCACACTTGGGAGGCTGAGGCAGGATTGTTGCAAGTTCAAGACTAGCCTGGGGTACAAAGTGAGCTCAAGGCCAGCCTGAACTGCATAGTGACACCCTGTCTCAAAAAAAAAAAAAAAAAAAAAACCCCAGGAGAAGCTTCCTAAGTAACATGAAATGTACCCGATAATGATGTGACATTCTTACCTTATTTGCTCCAAACTGCACTCTGGCTTTGCCTTTGACTAAGGTGGCATTGATCTGCATGATGACAGACTCTATGGAGTAGGCGCTGCTCCAGCCCTGCAGGAAGAAGCAACCGTCTCTAAACACAGTAGCAGTCCCGTCCCCACTTCAGAGCCTCACAAAGCAGCACACAGAAACTCAGCAGAGGCAAGTCAGTGTTCAGGGGAGAAAGTGAAATTGGGCCACTTGAGGCTCACACAAAAACAACCATCTTACATTCTGAGTTCCTAACATGAGCAAGTAAAGCACACCCTCAACAATTACCCTGCCAAGGGATTCAGCAGTAAGTACAATGTTATTTTATTGGTTTACTCTGAATAGTTTTTTATTATTAAAAAGACACTAAAAAAGATATTATTAAGACAATTTTTTTAAAAAAGTAGATGTTATTATGTAAGAACTTTTCTACTTAGTATTACATATACAGAATCAAAACACCACTGAGGCTGCAAATTGTGAACTACAAGAAAAAGTCACCTGTTTTGTGAGAAGCTCCATACATAATGCTCCTCCACCCAACACATACCTTAAAAAGAAAAGAAAGGAATCATATAAAATCCTCTAGGACTCTGTTCTGTTTTAATTTTAAATGCTATTACAAAAACATATGTAGATGAGAACACATTAAAATAAAAAGTTAAGGCACACAGGATTATGGGCAATTTTAAAATGTTAAATCACCATTCTAATAGTCAATTTTAAAATGATTCTTAGTAAAAGAATTCTTAGTGATGAGACTTTTGTGCTGTCTAAAATTAAGAACTTAGCTGAACACATTCCAGAGAATGGGAACTGAAGAATCACTGTCCTTCGTTAAACCCAGTGTAGCCTGCACAGAAACATTCACTCACAGCGCCCATCATACAATTGGACGTCGCCTCAGATGAAGGGCCTGCTACCTCCCTCGTCACGATGAACACTGGCATGATGCTACATAGTTCAAGCTGTTTTCTCTATTCTGCAGTGACACTCAAATCCTGACCACAGAATAGTCTAAGGACTATTCTCTGAACTAAAGACAATTCTGAGAAGTTCCCTTTAGGAAATCATTATTTAGATCAAAATTCTACAATCTTTTGACCCTTTCTAAAAAAAGAAAAAAAAAATCCGTACCTCCTTAATGTTCACTTTAAATTTCAAAACATATTAAATAGCATACCTAAATGCACAAGGAAATCCTTTCAGGTGAAAAACTGTGGTGACTGCTGATGAAAGCCCAGGCCCAGGGCAAACCACTGTGTCCTAGGTCAGGCACTGCCCTCCCTTTCCCCCGCCTGCAATTCTGGAAATGCCTACCTCCCCAAGTTTTGTGCTCTCCACAAAACTTCTCAAGACCATTTTAGCCTTCGAAACTTCTACCCCAGCTCACCACAGGAATCCTCGTGTTGAATAAACCAAATGTCTCTGCAGAAAGGTAGGGAATCCAAAAGCTCCTGGAGGCCACTGAGATCAGTAATGGCTACAGTGGAATTGTTCAACAGCACAGTGGGGAAAGTACTCCTCAACACTCCCACACTAGAGGCTTCAAGCAGGGTCACTTTCCCACATACCTCTTCGAAAGCCTGGTACCTTCTGCAAAGGGAAGGTCAAACAGAAGGGAAAGAAAACCCAAAGGAAAAACACTCCAATAAAATTAAATTTGGGTTCTGAAATTTCTGATTTTTCTACAAAAATTTATTTTTTGCATCCCTTTGTATTTCTGAAACACAAGTACCTCCAATTTCCTGAATCTCCCACAGTTCTATAAAGTTATCTTAAAATGTAAGGTATTCTTGCTGACTTAAAGAAAATTAGAAGATCTAGATTTTTATTGGGAGTTTGCTTTCTCCATAACTGCTCAAAGTCTTGACATCTATTAATGAGTGGGCCTCATATTTGATCTGCACATTTCAAAATGCTTACCTAGACAGGGACTCCATTCAGGACAAAGAGGTGTACAGTGGACATATGGTTACCCATGACCCAGCCACCACCTCGCCTCGAGGGCACAGTCACACCAGGTGGGAGAAAGAAAATTTTCCCATGTGAAAGTCAAAGAAAGTGCATTTCTACCAGTGCATAATAGGAACTGCATACGTGTTTGCTAGATGTCTAAACCAAGACATGTATTTTAGTGCCTACCCAAAAAATAAAAGAGGTAAACTTTCCTGAATATACACTGTCAGTGTTCATGCCTACGAGAAGTGGCTATTTCTGTGCTGCATCACATTTATCTCAGCAACATGTGTTCTAGACTCCTTACTGGTCTTTGCCTCCCAAAGGTTTGTTATGAATGTTAAAACAATTCAAAGATGCAAAAAGAAAAAAAAAAATCTGAGGATAAGCTAAAGAAAATAATATGCCACATACATGGGCAAAGCAGTGTTTTCAACTTTAAAAAGTTTTATCTGCTCACATTTTTTTTTGTTTTTGTCTGTTTTGGTGGTACCGGGGATTGAACCTGGGATCTTCATAGTAAGCTACATTTTCAATCCTAATTTTTGTTTTTCTTTTTGTCTTTTTGAGACAGTTTCATTATGCATTACAAGCTGGCTTTGAACTCACTTTGTAGTCTAGGCTGGCCTTGAACTTGCAGTGATCTTCTTGTCTCAGCCTCTTGAGTGCTGGGATTACAGGAATGTGCCACCATGCCTGGCCCTTTTGGTAGTGCTGAGTCATTAAGTTTCCCAGGCTGGAACTGTTCTTACAATTCTCTTGCCTCAGCTCCTCAAGAGTGTTTAGATTATAGGTATGCACAATCATGCCTAGCTTGAAGCATTAGAGCAAATAGTATCCTAAGCTCAGCCTCTTTAGGCATTCAGTTTATCATTATTATAAATGATGCCGCTCACAAAAGGTCACCTTTTATGTTACTCTATATGAAATGTCTGGGATAGGCAAATCTATACAGACAGGGACTAGAGCGATGCTAGTCCATGGTAAGAAACAAGGATAAAGGGAGTAGCCATTATGGGTATAGGGTTTCTTTTTCAGGTGATGAAGGTATTTCAAAGTTAAGTAGCAGTAATGGTTGCACAACTTAATGTTGTATACATTAAGAGGATGTTTTACTGTACGTGAACTGTATCACAATGAAGCTGTTATTTAAAAGCTTGGCTATGACAAGAAATAGTGTAGTTCATAGAAGATGTAAACTATAAAATATGTAGCAAAAACTGCTCAATAATCTACACAGAATTACAGACAGCTTTTAAACTACCTGGATTCTGAGAATGCAAGTTCTGTGGTCTTTTAGTATTTCAAATTACTTAGGTCACCTCAAGTCAATAATTCTTTCTCTCCACTTAACACTTGATACCAGAGACCAGGTCACCTTGATCCCGCCTCCAATGAATGCCTGCATTTTGCTCTTTTTTCCATGCCTGCACTACAGTTTCAGCTCCCGCACTTTAGCCTGAGACACAGCACTGGCTCACAGAGAGTGCTGCGTCCTTCCAGGTTCCAGAAGCACCTCAGGTCTACTGCCAGTGTTCATTTTCCATTTCTGAAATGTTTCCTTTGTATTATTTCCCTCCTTCTAGCCAGGTAAAATAGTATGAATCTAATACACTCACTTAAGTCTGCTTATCAGACAGATGGTGAAAAATAAGACAGACCTGTCTAATCCAGAATGTTAGATAAATTCAAGCTACTATGTCAGCATTATTTAAAGCATAAAAAAATAAAAACTATAGTTTGGTAGGTAGTAAAAGGCCAGGACCATAAGGAACACAAAGGTTAAAAATTTACCATCTTTCCGTCCCTTGTTTGTTTTGTATATGTAAATATTTGACTGGGTTACCCAACATTCAATTCTCAAAACTGATAATGAAGTTTTGTGTCAGGAAAAATACTTTTACTATCTAATTCAACACAATGTAGGGAAGATTTAAATCCAAAATGAAATTTTATACAATTCTAAACAACTGGTTTATGCTCAATTACTCCATGTCCTTCCTCCTCATAATAGTGTATTTGAGATCAGTTCTGTATCAGAAAGAACCAAACTTTTAGACAGGGATTTGTAGGTCCATAGGGTCTATCCCTATCCTTAAGAGATAAGTACAGCTTTTCTCGCTCTCCAACAGAAAATATCCAAGAATTGGGGCCGGGGAGATGGCTCAGTGGAATAAGCGCTTCTCTGGCAAGCGCAAGAGCCTGAGTTCAGTCCCCGGTTCTGCAAAAGAAAAGAAAAGAAAAGAAAAGAAAAGAAAAGAAAAGAAAAGAAAAGAAAAGAAAAGAAAAGAAAAGAAAAGAAAAGAAAAGAAAAGATCCAAGAATCATTCACAATTTTGGATTTCTAATAAAGCAGTATTTCCCAAAAAGCAAACCAGAAGACCTGTTCTTCTGAGATCCCATGGGCTGAAATAATTGTAAGTTAAACAGATTTAGAAAAGCTATTTAGCATCTTCTTAGAAAAGTAACTAAGATTCTAAAAGGTCAGGTGGTAATGAATATCATGAACCTGATCTCCAAAAGCTAAAGTCCTTTCAAAAAATACTCCATTAACATCCCAGCACCAGTACACCCAGAGAGAAATACAGCCAGGACTAGATGGCTGCTATCAGGTAAGTGTGACCTCTTTCTGAAGCAAAATTTTATAGGGCTGCATGAGTCAGAGTGGGCTCAGAACATTTATAAATGCTGGATTGTTCTTAAAGCCACTTTCTTTTGCTTGAGCTTTATAAACAGATCTTATCCCCAGTATCAACACCACAGCTAACACACATTCTAGCTATATGGCAAAACAATTTTTAACAGGACTGGATCCCGCAATACACAGAAAAAAGCATGTAAAGCAAATAGAACTAAATGTTTTGTAAGGAGTTAGGAGCAAACTCACTTCAGAGAAAGTTCTCTGTCGTAGTCACCCACATTTTTAACCTGAATGTAACTATTCCTGTCTCAACCACAGAAAGACCAATTTAAGAGTGGGATTCTTTTTAAATTTTATCACTTGAATATGGATTATCTCACAAAGCAGAGTTAGTCGGCTAAGCATCTGAAAATACTCAATTAGTCCAACTGCTTCTATATTGCCAGTCTATACATCTCATAACAAACCTAGGTACAAATTCTTGTTCTCCCATCATCCATACATCTTCTGTCCACAAAAACTAATCACTAAGATATCAATGAAAGTGCATAATTTTCACTTGATTCCACTCAACTGCAGCCACTGCACTGCAAGGCAGCTCCAGAAGCCAGGAAAGCCAGCCTCTCCTAGAGGCTCACTGAAGGACCCAGCTATGGGAACCAGGAACCAGAACTCAAGTTCTCAACCACAATTTGCATTTGAAAAGCACTTGGCTTTTAACGTAAATATATATAAATAGGAAACATTAAAATTTCTACCTATATGAAAGTAAGGATTTACACTATGGCTGTGAATGTGAGTCCCAAAGCAGCAGCATCAACTTTACCTAAGAACTTCTCAGAAATGTAAATTCTCAGGCACGCCTTGGTCCTGCTGAATCACAAACCTTGGGACTAAGGCTAGCAATCTAGGCCTCCCAGTGTTTTAATTAGTTCTATAAATGATTTCCACACCCACTACAAAAAAAAAATCACTTAAACTTACCCCCCTGAGAGAACAGGTAACACTACTCGAACAAATGGAGGATCAAATGGAAAGTTATCCTAAAAAGTAAATAAGCAAGTTTAATTTTAAGGACATCCTTACTACTATATTACTTAGAAGATTTTAAAATCATCAATAGAGAATATATAAATTTATTATCTGATAATGAGTCATAAAATCAGTACCAACAAGTAAGATGAAACAAAACCAAAGTAAATAAAAATGAAGTTAAGATCAAACCCAAACAGAATGGTGTGTTGGTAAATTTATTTCACTAAGTGATTTCATTCCTAATAGACCTACACAAAGGAATCATTAAAATAACAGATTTCTGTTCAATAGCTAGAATGGGGTGCAAAATTTAACAATTATAGGGCTGTGTTCAGAAAGAAAAAGAGGAACTCCAAAGAAAGGGCCTTTTCCCCCTTGGCTTTTCTTCCAGCTAGAGAAGAGGAGAAGAGGTTAGCTAACAAACTGAGTAGAACTCACAGACTCAGGGCTGGTAAGATAAATCAGAACACTGGAGTCTACTAAGGAGAGGCGCTGGTTAATCTATACTTTAGGTTAGGTCCTGAAGGCAATATTTAAACTACCCTGGCAGAACAAGTCCAACTTTAAAGCAGTTCAATCCCTGACAGATAAGTCCATCCCAAGATGTCACTGTCCATGCCCCTGAGAAGAGCAAGCAGATCAGCACTGCAATGTCTCATACACAGTACCTACCACTAAGAACAAGCAGCTTAAAGATGATACAATCAGAAAACCAGAGAAGCAAACCACAGACACAAAATCACAGGGACTGAGGTATGAATATGTTGAAAAAGACAAGTCTGAAAACCTGGCAGAGAGCTACAAACTATAAAATAGAAACATATGGAAATTCTGAAATTTAGAGCCAGAATAACTGAAATTAATAGCTAAGTAGATGAGCTTCACCACAGCAGGAGCTTAATACAAAAGAGTCAGTAAACTAGAAGATAGAACAGACACATCCAGAATGAAACTAAGAAAAACAAAGTAGAAAATGCAAAAAATAATAAGACACAAAATAACATGCTGAAAAGATTTATCACACATTCTGAGTCCTAGAAGGAGAATAGAAGCAAAAAGCTGAGCACTTCCAAAAGGCCAGCGCAGGACTGTTAAGGCTGGGTTTCTGACTGTCCTCAAAGCTGATGAATGGTGGTGGGGATAGTCTAGGAGTGGCTACAGGGTAATTCTTGAAGGCAGGGGCAAGCTGTGTTTTGTACTCTCCTATCTTGCCTCTCTCCTCAAAATAAATCTTTCTTCTTTAAAATTATCTTATGGCTTCTGTCACAGCAATGAACAGCCAACAGATACCATAGATTTAACCATAGTAGTTCAAGAGAAAAGTAGAAAAATTAAAAAAAAAAAGGAGAAGAATAGAGGCTACAGTAAGAGTAGGGTAGATTCACAATGCTAAAAGAAACCAGGGGCTGGGGAGATAGCTCAGTAGAATAAGTGCTGGTCTGGCAAGTGCAAGGGCCTGAGTTCAATCCCCAGTTCTGCAAAAAATAAATAAATAATAAAGAAACTGCCAACCCAGAAAACTATATTTAATGAAAATACTTCTCAAAATGAAATAAAACCAGCACTCCAGGAGGCTGACACTGGAGGACCACAACTTTGAAGCCAACTGGGCAACAGAGCAACTTAGTGAGATCTCATTTCAAATTTAAAATGTATCCAGGGATGCAGCTTAGTGAGAAGGTTCTAGGTTCATGAGGGAAAGAGCATAAAAACAGACATGTTCTTATTCACAGTCACACACACAAAAGGAAAAGGACATTTCTAGGTAGGAGAAAAGATGTCCTTAGATGAAAGAATAAAGATCATTAAAACAGCAAGCATGCAGGTGGGTCCCAGTGTGAGCAGGTGTAGGGTTTCAGATAGGCACAAAGTTAAAATGGATGACAACAGCTGCGCTATTTGGCCCGGAGTACATGAATTCATTGTGTTCTAATTCTTGTATTGACAAGAAAAAATATAAAGTAACACTGATGTAATATGTCAACAAGTTGAGGTATGTACTGTGATTATAAAGGAGGAAAAAGAGAGCATAGTTACTGCACTAATACAGATGGGAAACGGGAGTAAGGAAAAAATGGGAGAAAGAAAAAGCACAAAACAAGAAATACAAGCAGAAAATCACCTACAGGGCAGCAGATTGAAACCCAGTTTTAGAATTGATATTAAATGGAATGGATCGCTCCAACTATAAATCAAAGAGCAGATAAACAGATGAAGAGAGCAAGATGAGCTAGAAAACAAGCAAAGCAAAGAAATCCCAACTTTTTAGGCTAATGAGTACAATTTACTTTTAGAAATTCTTAGTTTAAAAAAAAAAGAAAGAAAGAAATTCTTAGTTTTGAAAACTGTTCCCAGAAGAGAAGGAGCTTTTCTGCCTAATGAAAGGAAGCACAGACAGTGCTGAAGTTGCCACAAGTGTGAGTTCTCTGTGGCCTGGACGCCACCAAGAAGGCTGGCCCTTCCCTCCCTATAGGAGTGAGACAGGACCGTAGCCTGCTTCTGGTGGAGATAGCCAGCACAGCTAAGAGAAGCCACCTCCATTCTTTGCGTTCAAACAAAACAGGATTACAGGAAACAACTGATGCCTTTCAGAAGACCATTTAGGGGAAAAAAATCCAAACATTTGCTTCACCAGTCATTTCTAAGGAACATGAAACTACAAATTCAACTGGGAAGAAAAGCAAAGCATAATCTCAGTAATTTACTTTATCTCGCTCTCTCTGCCTACCCTTCCAATAAGACTTTGGGGAAATTCAATTCTATGGGCAGAGGAAGATCAAACACAAGCCTGATGGTTTGAATGGATCATCTTACATTTCTATTGCAACTCAGAGAGTGAAGAATCTACCCACACAAGATACCAACTTAAATGACAGCTATGATAGCCCATTAAGCAGCTCACCATTTCTCGTAATTTAACAGCATAATGAAAGGTATCATTAACAAAGCTTGATGAAACATAACCTCATTTAATCTATTATTTTCTCCTTCAAATATGTCATGTCAAGTAGATGATTACAAAACCTGTGTTGAGAATTATCTTCAACTACTTCTTCAGAATAATTCTCCTGCATTAAAACCTAGGGATTCTACTCCATAAACTGTGCTCTAGAAACTCAACAATCAAGATTTTATAGAAACAAAAATGAGTTTCTTAGCCCACCCTCCCAAAAAAAGTTGAGGATGATTGTAAAAATGGAAATTTGAGTTACATTAGTGTACTAGCTGAGAAATGAGAAGCTCTAGCTTTATAAAGATGTTATAAAGTTATCTGATTTCCTACTGAGCACCTTGGCCTTCTAAGGAAGAACAACATTCAATTATTAAGACTGCACCATAAGATGACACTAAATGGTTGCAAACCATTTGCCATACTGAGTTGAAAACAGCCTCTATAATTTGACTCAATTACTTCTAGCTTTATGCCTTGTGTTTATCAAAAGAACTAATGCTTTCAAGTGTTCAATCCTTCAGCTTGCTGAAGATACCCATTTGTTTCACTTCCAACTCTACAACCTAAGCTGGAACCTCATTCTACTCCTGGTTACTATTATCTAAACTTAAATTTGTCTAAATAAGCCCTTATTAAAAGTACCACCTAGAAATTCAATTCAGTAATTCAGAGGTGGCCTGAAGAGTAAAAAAAAAAAACTCTCTTCCTTCAAAGCACAGCACATCAAATTTATCAACCTGCTGACCAGGACCCATTCCCATGATCACAATGTTCTAAGTGAAACTCTTATTTTTTTTCATCAACCCTAAACTCTCCAGTATCATTGTACATACCTGAGACCATAAGAGTATATGGTTCTAGCTCATTCCTGTAAATCTTGCTGAGTTGTCCTGCTATCCTCCACCCTATCAATCCTGATAATAATAACCTGCCAAATTCATGAAAGGTCCTTCTCATAACATCAATTAGCTTAGGAAGATCACCCTCACGCAAGGCCTGCCTCTCTATCTATATTTGGTGCAGGGTCTCACTACGTAGAATGGACTCATAGTAATTCTCCTGTTTTCAGCCTCCCAAGAGCTGGGATTACAGGCGCGTGCCACCACGCCCAGTCTCAATGGTTGCTTCAGCGCACCCTGGGTGCGGGGCTGGCACAGCACGTTGGGATTAAACCCCAGCCACTGTGCTCTGCCTAAGCAGGCACTTTAGTCTGCTGAGCTATCTGGCTAGCCCTTCATCCAACGCCTCTTAAAAACTACTCTAACCCTAGAAAAGGCCCTTCTTTCTGTTAAGAGCCATGATCCAGAAACACAAATCCACTAGAATTTCAAAGATTTTCCTTCCTGATCATTTCTTCCCTGAAGTTCTACCTAGAGCAGGAAAGTATAATGAAAATACTACCTAAGGCCGTAATCCTTCTGGCCAAGACTTTACTTTAAAAAAAAAAAAAAAAAAATGCCTCTAATGAAGAAGTGACAGGGAGAAGCACTATGTGCTTCAAGGCACTAAAAAAAGGCTCTATTTTATAAGCTTGGTGTTTGGCACAAGAAAGTAGGATTTTTTTTTCCTGTATTTTAGGGAAGGGTCTACAGGGTGTTCAGGGTCTCACTACTAGATCAGATTCGTAGTGATTTTCCTGTGTACAGCCTCCCAAGTGCTGAGATTACAGGTGTGCGCCATCACACCCAGTCTCAATGGCCATCTCAGTGTGCCCCAGGGGCGGGGCCGGCATGGCAGGTCTGGGATTTGAACCGCCAGCCCCTGGGCCTGCTTGCAGGTGCTTTAATCTGCTGAGCTATTTGGCTTGCCCTAAAAGTAGGTTTTCTTTTCTTTTGTTTTTGTTTTTTTTAAAGAATGTATGATTTAATATTATTTTCAGTTTAAATATTTTATATGGCTTTCTGTTTTGTTTTTTTCACTAATACCTTTCCTAGTTTCTTGTGGTTGGCTGGTTGATTTTACCTAGGTATTTCATTCACTGCCCCATAGGAATTAGCAGAAGTGAAGAGTCATTAGCACCTATACAAGTAGACATCAGAGTTATATTCTAGAAAGTCAGCTGAGTGGACATGAATACACTTCCTACAACAACCAGACTGAGGGAACTATGACTCTTGGGCTATCTCAAGAAAATATAATCTATAGATAGACCTCTATAGTATGGTCTATAGATAGACTTCCAACAAAAACATGTACATATAAAACTTATATGAAAAGTTTTCAAAAAATAATTGCCACGCTTTTCCTAAGTACAAAGGAAATATCTATGTCTTAATTTTTGTCACTCAAAACAACTCATAGCCATCTATCCTTACTTCTACTATCACCACCCTACATCAGATCTTCATCACTTCTAGTTAAGTCAAAACTTCTAACTGATTTCCCAGAAATCCACTCTGTCCTATCTAATCCCTGCTGTGTTACTGGAAGCATGACTGTTTAAAACAAAATGAAAAGTCCAACAGATCAAACATGACCTTTCATAAAAACCTCTATTCTGCATAGAGTCCAGACTTTTTACCACAATCTTCAAAGTCTGATAGCCTCTATCACACTAATTTCTCATCCCCAGAAAGAAAACAGGCTCTTGAAGAACAGGAATCACATTTTGGGTGTTCCCAGGTAACTTAAACCATTAGACTACCTAACTGAAATGGAAAAAAAAAAAATCTATCTGCGAGAAAATTGTTACAAAATTTTTTTCTTTTTCTTTTTACATAAATTTTTCTTGTCAATTTAAAAGAATGGGTTAAAAAAAAAAAAAGCCCCAAATAATTCAACTATAACTCCTTAGAAATATTTTCTAGTTTTTTAAACTAAAGAGTTAATATTATTAAGGGCTTTATTTTTATTTTTGGTACCGGGAATTGAACTCAGGACCCTCAAGCTTGCCAGGCAGGCACTGTATCACTGAGCTAAATCCCTGACCCTAGGATTTTAAACCATTATAGCTTACCCCTAGTGCTTAATAACTCATTAACATTTTATCTAGATTCCTTTGCTATTCTTTTTAACCTTTATTTTTAGTTCAAAAGTAACTAATAAACATAATATATAAATTCTAAATATGCATAAAAAAGAAAAGTACACCTTCAAAGTTGTAAAATGTACATCTTTTTCAATTCATAAATCCAAAGGGGCCCCTTAACCTGACCTGTACTAAGCACATCTCTATTTTTCCTGACAGTTGTACTGCCTGGAGATGAATTTATATATTAATATTTCTTAGCATTTTTTCATTTGTGCTCAAGATACCTTTTTAGAAATTTTTCCCCTCATTTTTCACACCTATCTACACAATGGAACATTTAACACCACAGAAGTGTGTCTTAGTTTATGTTTTATGGCTACTTGCAGGGCCAAAGTCACTGTATTTTTTTAATATTTTATTTATTTTTTTAATTAATTTTATTGAGAAACAAATAGCAATGAGACAATTTTAAAACCAATTAATAGGACAGTTTCAATAATCAATACATTGCATATTGTTGTCTTCGTATTGGTTATTCATAGTACAAGATGCAGACATGATATCCACTGTAACACTGAAGATTTTTTTCACTCTGAGGACCAATTGTCACCCCATTCATGTGATACAGCCTCCAACGAGATTGCATTATTAGCATTATTAGGTATATGATTAGCTTCACCTATTCTCTAAACTATATAATATATAAATTGAATTGCACCAAACAAGTTTAGGGGGCTGGGTTTCTCTTGCTCAGCACTGTATTCAAGATGCATCCCACTTGTATACAGCTATATCCAATTTTATGAATACTATAATTTTCTATTTTATTGGAACTTGGAGTTTCTGTTTCAGCTGTTGTAAACATCACTGCTCTGAACATTCTTAGGTCTGTCTCTTAGAGCGCCCAAATACTCATTCGTCACAAGAGAATTCCTGAACTATAAGGTGTGTCTTCCATACAAATACTACCATATTATCTTCCAAAGCAGTTGTACAAATATACATTCCCATCAAACATATGGAGCCCCACTACCATTTTCTTACCTTAAAAGAGAAGTTAAGCAAAATATATTCTATGCCTTCTTTTTCTTTTAAGATCTGAAGATCACTGTGCAAAGGACTATCAGGATCAACTCTAAGAATAACAAAATAAAAGCCAATTCAAACAAAATAATTTTTCTCACTTAACTCAAAAATTAAGCAGTCCAAAAACTAAAACAGAGACTCTAGGCTAAGTTCCAGCAGAGAAGTTCTAAAGCTGCTCTATAACCCTGGAAAAAGTAGCCAACTATAGCTCCTTGGTAACATAAGCTCAAAAGGAAACTATAGTAGTCAGATCTATTATAATACAGAGATCCAAAATCAGTAGTCTAAGGGGCCAGCCAAATACCTCAGCGGATTAAAGCACCTGCTTAGGCAGATGCAGAGGCAGGGGTTTCACCCCCCCAATGCGTGCTGGCCCTGCCCCTGCGATGGCGATTGAGACTGGGCTTGGGGGGGCATGCTCCCAGCTCTTGGGAGGCTGAACACAGGCAGATCACTACGAGTCTGATCTATGTAGTGAGACCCTGCAGACCCTGTACTGAAATACAAAAAAAGAAATCAGTATTCTATAGAAAAAGTCAGGTGTTCATAATTTCCTCCAAAAAAGAGGAAATAATGAAAAAATCAAAAACAAACAAAAAGCCTTTCTTAATGTTATTTTATTAGCCAAGAAGCTCAAGAAAAAATATTGCCACCAAAAAAAACCAAAACATGAAAGGGCAAGTCACTACAAAAATCTACATTTGTCTATAGCTGTTCTACATATGCAGATCCTATCCAAATTCCTTATTTCAAACAAACTCACTATTAGTCAGCTTCATCAGGTTATTAAACACATTTTTGTTTCTAAGTTGCCATTGTCTCCAAAACCCCAAGAAACACTTTACTCCACAGTGGTCCCTCTGTTTCTCCTTTCTCACTTTATAAAACCTCAGAAACAACTCATTTTCACAATCTGAGAACTACTTCCATAGAAAGAAGTTCTAAAGTTCTAAGTAAAAGCTATAGTATAAAAGATATAAAATTAGGAGTAAAAACCCACTTTACTATAGAGTCAGATGTTGCAAGAGTAGGTTGGCATCAGAGCCACTTACTTTTGCAGCTTTACTTGCCACTCGTATAAACTGTCGTTTATGAGTTCCACCGAATAGATCCCTGGGAAGATAAAACATGCTGGTTACGCTCCACCTCATCATACAACCATCATGCACAACCCACTAACAGAAATTGGAAATTTTGCTATTAAATGGAATGTCTAAACTGTACTGCAAATAAAGTGTCTTATACCCGTAACACATAATTAAAACCATTGGTTAACAGGATTCTTCAATGAATTCAGAAACTACTATTAACTTTGAAAATTACAGTTTATATTAAATCATATGTATAGTATATGAGACTTTTCTTCTATATACATAGAAACATTTATAAAAAACTGAATCCTCCTTACACATGTTTTTAATCTTCAATTTTCTAGGACATCTCAATCAGTATACACTAAGTCTATTGTTAATTTCTCTGTAATAATTTATTTTACATACATACCATAATGTAACCAAATCTACCTAATGCCCAGTTATTAACTTTTTGCCAACATATACAACACTGAAACAGGTAATTACTTAACATTCAAAGATAAAATCAGTTCAAATATTTAACTATTGAGCTTTCTACAGACAAACTTTTAGGTTTCTATAGGTAAATGTTTGGATTTCTTAAAAGATAAACTATCAGGATTCCCAAATTTCTAATAACTCAGAAAAAAAATTGGCTTATTTAATATTCTACAAAGTAGAATTTGGTTTTCTTTTTTTAAGCAATTCTAGTCATTTTTATTTGTTCATTCTGAGAATTCCTGTACGGATCATAACAAACAAAGGAAGCCGTGGCTCCTTCCATTACTTAGCACTCTAGCAAAGTAAGAGAAGCTCCCCTCCAATCAGGGAGACTCCTCAGTATTTTAAGACTTTGTAAGCAATTAAGAATACTCTTAACTCAAACTACTATAAAATAGCAAAAATAATGTTTAATTTTAAAAAATTTTAAAAGGGCCAGCCAAAAAGCTCAGCGGATTAAAGCTGCTGCAAGCAGGCGCAGGGGCCAGGGGTTTGATACCTGGGCCTGCCATGCTGGCCCTGCCCCTGGGGCACACTGGGACTGGCAACCGAGACTGGGCACCTGTAATCCCAGCTTTTGGGAGGCTATACACAGGTGGAACACTAGGAATTCAATCTAATAGTGAGACCCTGAACACCCTGTACACCCTTCCCTAAAATACAAAAATAAATAAATAAAAAATTTTAAATCTATCTAGTTTAAAAGTAATACTACAATTACCCATATAACGAGACAAAATAAAATTAACTTAGCAATAGTTCTTTCTTTCTACAATGAAATATATCAACCCGATTTACTTTACAAAGCAGTATTACTCATGTTTTTGCCAGAAGATAAAAAATTATATGAATTAACTATCAGGAGGGCAAAATAATTATTTCTTTTAAAAAAAAAATTCAAATTCACTTTATTTTTACCTCCCATATCTTCTGAAACTTGATTAAATTTGAGTTTCAACATCCTTAAAATAGTTAATAAACATTTACACTGCTGTCAGCTATAAGAAAAGACATTATTTGAAGACAGCAAAGAGCAGCAGAATGCAGACAGCAGGGACCCGGTGGTCCTTACCTGTTTTGTAACTCTGTGATCTGTATATGTCCCTGAGCTCTTTCATAAGTCTATCTGAAGCTTGCACAGACCCAGACACTGCACCCTGAAACAGAAAACTTGCTGTTTACAGGGTCTCCTAAGTCATTCAAGATTCAGTCCTTGAACCTGATGGAATATATAGTTTCAAAAGGAAAATAAAAGTTGGGCAAGTCTAGTTTGCTTACTATTTATTGTGAAAGAGTGGGGTGTCCAGTTAACATATCCAGACCATCATGGACTCTGTGATATTGTATAACTCAGTACGAATCTATTCCAAACTCTAATTTTTGAAAATACTAGAAGACTCTGATCATAGCACATTATTAACTACAATTGTTCCATTAATAAGACTGAGCAAGAATGTTATACTGAAGGTCTATTTTACATACTAAGAAACTGAAAAACATATTTGCCTTCAGGTTTCATTTCTTGACAGCATATGTTTCATCCGAACAGTAAATATGAAAGGAACTATTTTTGATCAGGTAAAATTAAAAGATTTTGAGAGCTACACTACACTTTTAGGGGGAAAAATTACCAACAAAGCTATTTCCTACCCATATGAACTTAAACTGGGGTAAGTGCTAATTTTCCCATCTACTAAATATATAGAGTATCTATTTCATACAGTGGTTCTGAAGATTAAATGAGAGGATCTAAAAAAATACATATAATATGGTAAGCATTATGTTTATCATATGAAAGTATTTGATTATTTATAGTTGTTCTGACTGTAACACAAACTGGAGCTGATCAAAAAAACAGCAAATACAGTACAATATCATTGACTGAGCTATCATAAACTTATTTTAATCTTTATTAAGATATTAAGTTGACTACATGTCTTTGCTATATTAAAAAATTCTTTCAATTAAACTAATATACTGAAGCAGAAAAAATAATGTTTTTACTACTCTCCACATTTACTCTCAAAACAACACATTCCCTGGCTTTGTCCAAGACAAAGCAACTGCTCTTGGATCTGAGAAAGCTGATAAGTACCTCCAACAGAAGGCACAAGTGTGAGGAGATACCAAACTGGCACTACAGGTCTCCCTCCTCTTGGTGTTATTTATACATATGTATATAATATATTTACACACATATTACTACATACACATACACATACACACACATTCTCATTTATCATAGTAGTTGTCCAAAAGGCATGTAGTGTTTATCCACATTTTAGAGTTGAAAAAATAGGAGACCTATAGTATCTGTCTGTAAACTGTTGGTTCCACCCTCCTATGGTGCTTCACATGACAGAGTTACTAAGCCAAAAGAGAAAAATGACTTTGGGTTTGGTCAGGGCAGACAGACCCAAGGTCAACTTCACAGAAGGAAAATGCTGACCAGACTTTGTAGGAGAAACTGGCTCTGAATATATGGACCACACCAGGGGAGGTAAATGAAAAATACAGCATTATCAGGTAGAGGCTAGAAGAGGGCAGTCAAGGGGAGCAGCAAGAGGGACCCAGGATGTGAAGAGCAGATGGACAGGGCGGAAAGGATGTCAATAGAGGAGAAATACCTGTGGTAACAGCACAGATGACTGAAACTACTACTGAGGTGGAGGTGGGGTGCAAAATGGGTAGCTGAAATGGGTACTGAGTGAAATGCCTAATGTTACCCAATAGTCATTCACCACTGAAGTCCAGGTTCTAGGTATTTACCCATACTCACATTTAAATGGTCTTGCCTTTGAGTCTTCCTAATTTTCTCTAATATTGCCAAATTTTCTTTTTCAATTCCATCGTCCTCTGACTTTTTCCCATTAATAGGCTCTTCTTCCTTCATCTCATAGTGATCTAAGTCTTCTATATCCTACAAAAAGGAAAGCACTAACTTATTCAAGTTATTTTTCTTCAGCAGTTTCTCATGCCAAAAGTTAAATCATTCTTGACTGGAATAAAAAGAGAACAAAAAAAGAGGATGGCAAATCCATTCTATGAGAGGGAGCAAACACTCCACATTCAGTTCACAAGATTTCTTCCTTCAATAGTCTTTGCTTTAAAAGACTAAGTCTATCTTTAAAAGCTAGACTTAGCATAAAGCAGATTTAATAGCTTTACAAAATCATAACTATTATCAGATACACCATCTGTTAAGTCTTTCATTAGAAGGAACTTCTCAAACAACTTAGGAGCAGGTATCAAGGACCTAAGTTGTATTTGTTTCAGAAATATTACTTCTAGTAAATGTGAACACAAATATAGGCACAATGATGCCTATTTCATTCTGATAATCATAAAAGCAAACACAAAATCTGTGTGCACAAAAACAGCAAAATATTTAATTCAACAGAATACTGAGGCCATTAAGATATCAACATAGCCAGAACTATTTTCTTTTCTACCAAGTTAAAAACTTTGAAATAGAAAATGAAATATAGAATGTCAATTATGACAAAGTAATTGCTTTGAAGAAGAGTAGCCAAGTGTGGTGGGTGCTACATGGCTGTAGAAGCTGAGGCAGGAGCATCACAGCAAATTCAAGGCCAGCCCAGGCTACATAGCAAATTAGGGACAGTCTGAAATTCCTAGCAAGACCCTGCCACATAAAACCAAAAAAAAAAAAAAAGAAAGGAAAAAACAAAAAACAGATTTTATAGCTGTTCTCTTGGGAGACATACATTTAGTGCTTTTCCAAGTTTTCTGTAGTAAATACTGATTGACTCTTACAATTGGGAAAAAGTTAGAAAAATATTTGAGTAACACTCCAGACCAAGACCCTTACCTAACATCATATATAAATCCATGTAGAATTCTTAAAATGTTACCTTTTTTAAGATTTACTTCTTACTTCTCTTTACTTCAATAGCCAAGAATCTCTAATGCAGTACTTTATTACCTCCATTTTAATAAGGAAGACTAGACCAGGCTTAGGATCTAACTTCTCCTAGACTCAGCAGTCTCCTTCTTCAGATGTCATTTCCTCGACTCCTTCACATTGCTCTCTGCTGCCAAGCATCTTTCAGCCCTGGTCTTCCAGCCCACCCTGTCTCCTTCAGAGTCATCTAGAATGCCCTCAGCAGGGTTCCATTCCCCTTCACTTTAATTCTCACTTATGTTCACATCCTCAAAACTCCACCTGAAGTCTAATCCAGACATTCCTAAATAATTGGTTATTACCTTTCTAAAACAAGATTCCTAGTATACACCATTTTGCCTTTCTTGCAACACTGTATCTAATTCCAGACTTTGAACCATCTGCCCTTTCCACCCAATTCCAGGACTCAACATTCCTCTCCTTACAAGAACGGCATTCAGTACACCAAAATACACCATGCCCCGCACTGTCTGGGAGCTTCTTCACATTATTTTTGCAACCTGGACCATCTTCTTTTTACGCACCCCAATTAGCCACCTCTGTAGTCCAGTAACCAGCCATTGCAGAGCTCCCTAAATGCTGCTGTCCCTTGCTTGTGAGGAAAAAAAGGTACATGAACTTTGATTATACCTTCTCCTTCACTGTATAGTGGACCTATGGAGGATTAATATTTTTTTCACATGAATACAAACTGTCTACACTAAAAGTCATTCTAAGTGGACAACTATAAGAATTATTTTGCTCCCAGACTCCAAATAGCCTACTACTACTTCTTTAGCAGAGGCATTCTGAAAGTGTATATTAGATTAAAATATTTCAAATAAAGAAAACAAGGTAAAACCCTCAGTAAGATCCAAAACAGGAAAAAAAGTTTTATATTTTAGACCTTTTGCCAGGCATAGTTACACGTGCCTGTGATCCCAGCACTTCAGAGGCTGAGGCAGGAGTATTGCTGCAAGTTGAAAGCCACCCTTGGTTGCATAGTGAGTTCAAGGACAGCCTAAATTACATAGTGAAAATCTGTCTCAAAAAGAAAAAAAAAAATTAAGACCTTTAACCAGTAACACAAAAACAGATCTCCTTTCTGAAGTTTTCATTAAAATGCAAAACTTCAGTGCCTAGAAATCTCTGAAACTGTACCAATGACTGACAGTTAATTCCACACCCATGGAACCTGGTCTACTAAGCTTGCTGTGATCCAGATGAGCCCCTCCAGCTGCCATCATAGGATGGTACTGAAAAGAGAGTCTTGAAAAAGCTCTGGGCCCAGGCCACTTTTCTCAGTAGTGGAATTAAGGTGCTTATGAGACGCAACCTTACTGTGTTGCCCAACTGGTGCCTTCAGAAGACATGAAGGCTGATCTTGGGTTTCTCAGCCTTCAGAACTAGGAGGGAATTTTTTTTTTCAGTACTGGGAAATGATCCCATGGTAAGACATGCTAAGTAAGTACTATGCCACTGAGTAACTTCATCAGCCCTTTCTTGAGAATTTTTCACTGACGCAGTGTTTTGTTTAAGTTATCCTGGATGGCCACAGACTACAAATACAAACCTTCTGCCTCAGCCTCTCAGCTAGCTGGTATTACATGTATGAGCCACTATGCCTGGCTAAACTTTCTGTTCTTCATAAATTGTCTAGTCTTAGTTATTCTAGTTAGGATAAAATAGAATAAATTACTTATGACGGGTTTTTTAAGAGACAAAACACAACTTGCTTGGCAAAGCACAAGGTCATGAGTTCTATCACCGGCACTAAATAAATAAATAAAGACAAATATAGAATTCTTAAAACTTAGTAGCTCTTCCCAAAAAATCAACTATGAGTTAAATACTGATTACTTTTAAATACAAATATAACTTTAGTGTCAGTGGTTAAAAAGTTTTTATTTTCTGGTAGATCGAATTTAAGGAATTGAGATAAAGTTATTTGATCAGTAAGTAGAAGGTAAAATCAGCATTTGAAATTACATCTCATTCCAAATACTACACATTTTCATTATTCCACATTAACACTGATTTTAAAAGATTAGTAAATTACTAGAAGGTTCAAAAGCAGAGGTGGCTATAAAATGTTATTTTTACATGTACCTACTTCAGCCATCTCTTCCTCTTCCTCCTCTTCAGAAGTTATTTCTTCTGTTGTCCCATTCTGAAACAAAGAACAACTTTCCAGGACTCCGTAGAACAAATGTGCACATACTGAGTACACAGGAGTAGTGCCACAGCCTGGCAGACACACTATCACTCATCTGTCACTGCCCTTCCACTAATAGAGAGCTTATTAAAAATAAAGTATTCATTTCCAAATCCAGATTTCATTTGAGAAAATAACACTAGCTTTTAAAAACTTTTTTTAACAATTCAACTTATAGATGACTTAGGAACAAAAGTAACCAGTCAAATACAAAGCAAAACTGGAAAAATTGTTTTAAACACAAGTTCATTTATAATAAATATTCCAAGGTATGAATTCCTTAAATACCTACATTTTAAGTTGAAAAGCCTGAATCTTTATATAAATCCAACTGTCTTTCATGTGAAAAGTTCAGCCATGTTATTAAGGAACAGGCACTTAATAAAAACTAAAAATTATAAAATACACTTAGGAGCCAATATTCTTTCCTAAGCCATGCTATTTACTACAGGACACTTCTCTGTAACATACAACTTACTGCTCATTCACAAATGAATCTGATGAGGTTTTAGGAAGCACCTTCATAGCCAGTTTTTGCAGATTTCAAAAGGCCTTGTTTTCTGGATCCAAGCATGGTTCGCCAGTCACAGTGTAGAAACACTTCTTTAATCATAAAAGTGGGCTGAGGTAGGACCAAAATATTTAAGAGAAACTAGGACCCAGAGATCACATCAGATAAATACCTTAGCAGTATCTAACCACCTGTTGTTAGAACCTCCTGAGTGTGTAATTCTTGAGAGCAGAAAAGTCATTATTGCAGAGGATATAACTCTTCTACATCAGTCAACTACAAAACCTCATAAGAGGAACATTTACACACATGCAGAACAGACTTGCATCTGTTTTAAACGTGCATCTTCTTAAGTATTATTTATCTCTTAGAAACTAAATGAGAAAAGGAACCAAGCAGTAGCTTCCAAACTGTTGAGATTTACCCTTCCTTCATTTCCTTAAATTAAATTTCCAAACCAGACTGTTTCTGGTATCTAAAGAACACACCTAGCCTAAAAGTCCCAAACCCCAGAGTGGGCACATCAATGACTGAGAGAATACTCTTTAAATGCTGATTTCAGAACTTAGCCCAGAGACTCTTTCCAAAAAACTTTGAGGCGACTCTGACATGTAGCCTAGTCTGTAACCAAAGTAGTCCCTGTTTTTTCACTTTATAAATAAAAAATATATATAAACCAAAAATAACAAAACTGAGCAAATTAACTTCACCCCGCAAAAAATGAGTTTATTTAACCAAAACACAGAGCCAGTGAGTGTTGTGAGGCCCTAAGATGAACTCTGTTTCACAATGTGGCCTACTCTTTTCAAAAGCCCACTAAAATAACCAAAAAATTTTATGAGAAAAGATAAATTCATTATGCTTTCTGAACTAGAAAAACAACAAATACAAGAAGGGTACAATTGGTGAAACAAAACTATAGGGACACAGTAGAAGATAAAGCAGATGGAAGCAGGCTGCTGGTCTTCAGAAAGCCACATCCAATCCAGACAGTGAGGACAACTATTGGAGAATTTAGGAGGATGACTTCTTACTTGTCCCAAATTCAACTGGTAAGGATCACTTTCTTCTAGAGGAAGCCCACCTGGACAGCCCCTTACTATAGGACCTGAACCAGGGTGAAAAGAAAACACTGTAAATATAACTCCACTGAGAATTTTCCTTTAGTCCCATTGAGATAGCAACTCTATCTGTGTGTGTTCACCACTGGTCCTCCACATCAACACATAAGCAAATCTCTTAACAGTCTTCTCCCTTCCTCAGGAGTTGGAAACCTCACCTGTCAGCTTCTCCCAGTCTTCATGTCACAGGAAGAGCACAGGTCTGAAGCCCACAGCAGAGTGCTAAGGCTAAAAGCCCATACTCAAGTGTGTCACATCAACAAATGAGCAGGAAACCAAACACAGCTGAAGAAAACTGACAAGCTGAAAGATATACATCAAGCCAAACAAGGGATCTGATAAATTAAGAGTGAAGTAAATAAAACAATTTAAAAATCTAATTGGAGGGTTGGCCAGATAGCTCAGCAGACTAAAGTGCCTGGTTCGGCAGAGTGCAACAACCGAGGTTCAATCCCCTGCATGCCATGCCAGCCCCATCTCTGGGACACGCTCAGATGGTGATGAGACTGAGTGTGGTGGTGCATGCCTGTAATCCCAGCTCTTGGGAGGCTGAAAAGAGGAGAATCACTACAAGCCCAATCTATGTAGACACTGCCCTAAATTTATTTTTTAAAAAATCTAATTAGAATTTTTAGAAATAATTTCGAATCTACTCCAACCACAAAATAATAAACAGATTAATTTGTGAAAGATTAGAAAGTTCTGGGAAATAAAAAACAGGACTTTAAGGAGAGAGAAGCACTAGAAAAATTTAGTAAAGGGCCACAGAACACAAAGACTTGACTGAACACAGCGTTTATGACTAACAGCATATGTTTAAGTGAATTGTGACATTCACTTAGAATGTGGAGAAAAAAAGATGGAAAACAGAAGAAGTGGAAAGTAGAAAGTAGTTAATGGAGATGGAAGATAAGAGAATACAAACATCTAATATTCACCCAGAGGATGCAGGGGAAGGAATAAAACAAATGTTGCCAGCTAAAGAAAGATTACAGAACAGTATATGGTTCTTGATGCCCCAAAGGGACACAGGAAGGTAAAACCTAGACTTCATAGTTAAAAGAAAACCATACTAATAATCCTCAGATCAGAAAGAAAAAATATATAAAAAGAAGTAAGAATTTCATCTGTAATGACAAGAGACAAAAGTGTAAAGAGCAGGGAGTAGACTCAATTGTAAATTGTATCTGTGTGTGTTCACCACTGGGTCCTGCACACCAACATAAACTGCTGTATACAGAATCAGACATTTGTTAAATTATAAAAACAGCAGGTATTCAAGTACCACTCTCCATACATACTATGCATACCTCCAAAAACAAGCAAACTAGAAAAAAAGAAACTATTACTCAGGAATCTACATGAGGGGCAGTTGTGAGGGGCATGTGGTACAAGGAACAGCACAAAGTAAATCCAGCAGCAGTACCAAAAACTCTAACTGCTGCTGATCATCCAGTCTGAGAGGCACAACCATGTTCTCTGACCACAATGACAAACAAGTAGCCCAAAAGTCACTTAAGAATGTTCTTGTGAAAGTTCTTAGAGCTGGGCAAAGTGATGCATACCTATAATCCCAGCACTTGGAAGGCTGACACAGAGGGATCACAGCAAGTTTCAGGCCAGCTGGGGCTACAAAGTTCAAGGCCAGCCTGAACTACATAATGAGTCCCTGTTTCAAAAAGAAAAGAAAAAATATTTCTCTAGATAATTTTTGGGGGTTAAAGAAATGGACTCCCATGCCCTACAAAGATCAACTCCAAAGGATGTACCCAAGAGAAATACCCATAGAAGAAGTATCAGAAGATACAGCAAGAATCATAGTAGCACTCTTCTTGACAGAAAACATTGGGAACAACCCAAATGCCTATGAATAATTAAATGGATAAATACTACCTTACCTATTCATGGGTTGCTTGTCTAGAGTGTGTCAGGCCCTGGATTTGATACCCAGCACCACCAAAAGAAAAACTTATGGTAACATGGTATGAATGAATTTCAGATATACTGTGGAGCAAAATAAAAGCACAAAGAAATACCTATAACATGACAAATGAAGTTCAAACAGGGGACATTAAACTCATTAGATGAGAATGCATAATACATACAAGACTGCTAAAACTAGAGAAAATTAAGGTGACCTAATGATCTCAGGAGAACCTGCAGAGGTATCTGCTGTGCTAGAAGCATCCTGTTTCTTCACCTCGGTGGTGGGGGAGGTAGTGGACCCAGGCAGTCACTGTAACAGCTAAGCTCACAGACATACTTTCCACATGTTACATTTCACAATAAAGTTCTAGGGAGAGTAATGCCAAAACAAAACAAAACAAAACAAAACAAAAAAAACCTAGGAAATACAAACTGTTCAGCAAACATAAAATTTTAAACTTGCAATGAAGTCAAATCACTCAAAAAATATAGACTTTTACATGTGTATTTAAAACCCAATTGATGTCATACTGATCTAATAAAGCAGAAAAAGCAAAAGCAGGAAGGGGAGAAATAACTAAGATAAAGGCAAAACATGAGAAAAATGCTACACTTAAGAAATAAAACTAAAAGCTAATTCTTTCAACAGACCACTACGCAAAAACAGATAAGCCTCTACCAAAATAATCAAGATAAAGAAATAACCTTAGATCTGGATCAGGCTTGGGTCTATTTAAGCTGTGCTTTCTGCACCTCAGCAACACTGATGTAATGGCCCAGATGCTTCCCAGGCATAGAAGGTTCTGCTCACTGTGGGCTGTTCAACAACATCCCATCTATGAAATGCCCCAGAAAATCCCTCTCTCATGGCCAGCCCTGACAATCAAAATGGGCTCCATATATTTCTAAATGTTCCATGGACGATAAAACTGCCTCTGGTTGAAATTAGTTTGAACTGTCCTAACACAAAGAAAAAAGATGTAAAGCTTCCCAAGCCATAACCGCCTCCCTCCCCGCAACAAACACACAAACCCAAGAGTCTATAAGTAAACAAAACTATACTACAATCTTATTTATTTATTTTGTATTTTTAGAGAAGGGTCTATAGGGTCTCACTACTAGATTGGACTCTCTAGTGATCTGCCTGTTTACAGTCTCCCAAAAGCTGGGATTATAGGCATGCACTCCACGCCCAGTCTTACAATCTCATTTAGAGTAGAATAAAAACGCAAAAATAAATATTAGCACACCCGGGGCTGAAGAGATAGCTTGCAGTCCAAGTGTTTGCCTGGCAAGTGCAAGAATCTAGGTTCAGTCCCTGGTACTATGGTGGCCACTGAAACTCGGTGTGGTAGCACACGCCTATAATCCCAGTGCTAGGAGGCTGAGACAGGAGGGTTACTATGAGTCTGAGATGTGTAGCAAGACCCTATACCAGATAAATAAATACATCTTTAAAAAGATACATATTTATACATATATATACATATATATACACACACACACACACACACACACATATATATATATATTCACATCCATTCCAAATGATTGAAAATTAGGACATTTCATCATATAACTGACATGTTAGGAGATGTACTTTCACAGGGCTGCATCACAATCATGAAAACAATGTAGACCTACATGTATTCTATCTGTGACATACTATGAATGAAAAAGCATAAGTTGTAGGCATCTAGGGAAGGAAAACTGAACTCAGAATGTGTCTTTCTCCTGTTTTCTTCCCTAAAGCTCCTCTAAAATTACAGTGAAGACACACATTTTATATAAACATATCATAATAAAGGAATAAAGCTACTTACAGAAAAGAGAATGTGCCTATACTAGAAGACCACAGTAAGTGGAGGAAAGGCAATTATTAAAGTCACAGGTAGGGGACATAGATTTTAAGGAGGCCAGTTTGTCCCATAACACCCTGGAAGGGCTCCAGACTGATACCCCAGATACACTAAACAAGTATACTGGACAGGTACATAAAGGGATGGGCAAAACTTAAAACCAGAATGAGCAAAAGCCATCAAACAGTGTCCAGCCCTGAAACACTGTTTTCCCATCTCCTTACATAGAACCCAGGCAGACATATCCACCTCAAGCAAAATGTGTAAGAGATCATCTCCAGAAAAACAGTAGTTCCGGCCATCATTTATTCCTGCTGGAATGTAGAAGGGTGGGAGTAACAGCTGGGGGGCAATATAAATTCCCCCCAATAAAAGAAAGCTATCATTTGGTAAAATTGGCCACAATAAACTCCAAATCAGTTACTCAGTGCTCTTGATAAATGAATAAAAGATATATAAAAGGAAGAGAAATATGAATATGCAGCACAGAATACATAGCTATTTAATTAATTTAGTCCTCATGGCTCCCCACAACAGAGGTACTACTACCATTATCACCCCTATTTTCCAATGGGAGATGATGCATAGAATGATGACATGATCAACCCAAGTGGTAAAAGGTAATAAGCAGCAGAATCAAGAGTCAAACCTAATGCAGTCTGGCTCCAAAACTGAAAGTCTAGCCTGCATTACAGTATTTCAGAAGCCTGAACTGAGGCAACTCAATTCCTCCATGCTCCCACAGGCTTTCACCTGAGGATGTACTCAAGCAAAATGAGAAGGCTAAGCAAGAGAGGCCACGTGACAGCCAGGACACAGAGGGCTGCCCAAGCAGACCAGAGAGGAAAAATCCCAAGGAGACAGCTGCACCAGAAGGTTCCAGAAACAAGGATCACAGAAAAGGATTAAGCATAATTAAACATGTAAACTTCTTTACACTAAGAATTATTAGTATAAAGATGACACTGTAAAACAAGCTATATAAGATAAGAAATATAAAAGAAAATCTCGCTCTAGGGCTGACCAAATAGCTCAACGGATTGAAGCACCTGCTTAGGCAGACAAGTTGGCTGGGGTTCAATCCCCGACATGCCTTGCTGGCTGGGCCAGCCCCACCAGCGCTGAGACAGTGATTGAGACTGGGCATGGTGGCACACGCCTGTTATCCCGGCTCTTTGGGAGGCTGAAAATAGGAGGACCACTACTAGTCCAATCTACATAGTGAGACTCTATAGACCGTGTAGCCTGTAGGCCCTTACTAAAAAATACAAAA